AGTTTTAGAAAAGGAAAAAAAATTTTTATATATATATAAGGTACCAAAAAAAAGAAAAAAAAGTTCTTTGATTTTTTTTTTTTTATTTTTTTGGGAGGGGTGGGAAGAATCCTGTATCTCCCTTTTGTCTGTAACCAGCCTCTTGTTGGAGTCTCTGGTCAGCTTGAGGTCCTGTGGCTTGATTGGTTTCTTAAGTCAGTTTGTTCGAACAGGCAGAAAAATGCTCTGCTTTACCCAAGATTTTGAGATCCCTCTCCCAGGTTAGTTTAATGGTAGGGTGATCTGCTTTGAGAATCACAAAAGAGGGGTGATGAGGCTAGGTTCTGGTAGAGTTGAGGCCTTTCAACAAACAGTAGCTTTTCCCTGGGGCTATTTTGTGAAAACTTCACAGAGCCCACCCTGGAGTCATTCTCAGGGTTTCTGTTTTTCAATTGATTGTGGAGGCTGCTAGAGGGAGGGGCAGCCTCTTGCTCTGGTTACCCAGTGAGGAGAGCCACTCCAATGGCTGGCGCCTGAGCTGGGTGACTTTTCCCTGGATGGAGCTGAGTCTGGCAGGTCACTTCGCCGTTAAGTTCTTGTGACCTGTTAACTGACTCGTTTTATTCCAAGGCCTGAGTTGGAGCTAGCCGCTCCTCCGAGCTTTGTCGGTATCCAAGATGGAGATCACCGGTGCTGGGGGGGGAGGGGTGGCCTTCCCTCCTCTGCTCCCTGAGAAGGAGTGAGGACGTCGGGCTTCTACTCACGCCGAGTCTTGGATCCTGGGTCGTCTCTGGTCTGCAAACTGCAGGCTGAAGATGTCCGCTCCTTGTCGGTTCTTGCTGGTGTTGAGTAGTATCCTCTCACCCGCTGCGTCTGGCTCCTTCGTCCCGGACTCTCTGTGTGAGCACTCAGGTATGGCCGCGGCTGCGGTCGCTGCTGCGACCCTGCCGCCGCCGCCGCCGCGGCTGCTGGCAGGCGCTCAGATGTGTCTCCTTGTCTTGGCTTCCCCTCTCTTGTCTAACTCTCTGTCCTGTGATGGCACACTTGGTGTGATTCTCTGGCTTAGGACTGTTCACTGGAACTCTAAAACTGCTTTCTATGCGAGAGCTTGTTCAGATTCCAGCTTCTCCTCCGCCATCTTCCCGGAACTCCTAAAGAATGTTTTTTAGCTATCTTTTACCTGCCAAGATTTTCTCTTTGGACTAAAATGCAATTTATTTTGGAGAAAACTTCAGGGGTTTTTGAGAATGTATGTGCTATAGCTCTTGGGTGAAATGGTTTGTAGATGTCCCCTGAGTACATTCAATATTTGGATCATCTAAATCTTTAAGCTTTAAGCTTTTTGTTTTTCTTTTTCTTTCTTTTTTTTTTTTTTGTCAGTTGGGGGGCTTGAATTCTGGGTCTGGGCACTGTCCCTCAGCTCTTCAGCTCAAGGCAAGTGCTCTACCACTTAAGCCACAGCGCCACTTCCGCTTTTGGAGATAAGAGTCTCCCGGACTTTGCTGCCCAGGCTGACTTTGAACTGTGATCCTCTGATCTCAGCCTCCTGAGTAGCTAGGATTCCAGATGTGAGCCACTAACACCTTGCAATCTTTAAGCTTTCTATTCATTTTTTTTTTCCTGAATCATCTCTCTGACACAGTGAGTGTAGTAGCAAAATCACCACAACTGTTGTGTCTGGGCCTCGCTGTCCCTTTATGCCCAATCGTGCTGTTTTTGTAAAGTTTGTTACACCACTCTTCAGTGCATGTGTACATTCACATGCCCTCAGTGTGGACAAAAAACAGTTAAATTTCTTTTTTCAGTCACTGCATCTTTTAGTGGGAGATAACACTGATTATTATTTATATGACACTGGTTATTATTGAGAGGTGTTGACTGATTTCCTGTCATTTTGTGTTATTTTTATGATTGGTTCCAGTGTTTACTTTTTCTTTTTCTCTTTTTTTTATTGTCAAGGTGATGTACAGAGGAATCTAGTACTTATTCTCTCTGCCCCACATTTATCCTGGGAGTTTGCTGGTTACCACGCTGAACATCTTTGCTTCTTCCCTTTCTGTCATGTTTTTATCTGTTCCATTCATGAAATTCAGTCTTACCTGCTCTCTGGTGTTTGGGATATCTAGAGTCTTCCTTCCTCAGCTGTCTGTAAGATTCTTGTCCTCTGCATTTCTAGCTTCAAGTGTTCTGGAATCATTCGTTTATTGTTATCATGGGATCTCTTCATTTCCCCATCAAATTCTAAGGGAAGTATGGGTGATAGATTATTCTTCCTTGGAAGTTATTTACATTATGCTCTTGCTTTTCAATATTTTAGGATTAGTGCTAATAGATCTGATGTAATCCTGATGGGTTTGCCTCTGTCCAAGTTGGTGTTTTATTTTGTACTTTTAATCATTTTTCTATGTTCTATAGTCTGTTGTCTATAATGAGACATGGGGAGTGTGTTTTCTGGTCTTTCTTTTGTTTTTTGTTTGGTTTGGTTTGGTTTTGGTTTTTTGCAACTCACTGAAATTTTTTTATCTATGCTTCTGTTTTTTTCATCCAAAGTCTTAAACCAAATTTCCTCACTTCACTTAATTTTTTTTTCATTTATTCCCTTTGAGCTTCCATGATCATTTTCTAAAACCAGACTTTTGGATTTTTTGTCTGTCATTACACTCCTGTGTGTCTGGATTTGTGGCCTTATGGGCTGTTTGAGTTCTTAGGTGTGAATCCAGGCCTTGTGCAGACTGTGAAAGCATGCTACCACATGAGCCGTGCACCCAGCATTTCTCATCTTTCTTTGATTTGAATATTGCTAACTTTGCCCATGTGAGCCTCAAGCATACAACTCTCCTGCCTCTGCCTCCCAAATAGCTGGAATTATAATACGCATGGGCCGCTGTATCTGGCTCACTTTCAGGCTTTTGAAAGGGTCATATTTCATTGGCTTTTCCTATTTCTTGTTTTTCCGCATTGCCCTTAGTGTATCTGTTTGAGGGATGTCGTTTTCATGTTCTTTAGTTTTTTAACTCAGCCAATGACTTCTTAGCAAGCAGATTTCCTTTGGGATTTTGTTTGTGTCTACCACTCAGAGAAAAGAAGGCCAAGGACGGGATCCTGATTGATTCTGTTGGCCCTTGTCTCTCAGCTCTGGTTCTATCCCCAGCACATAGCTGGTTTGCCTCCTGTTTGCAGAGTCTGGCCTGGAGTTCAGCAAATGTGTTCATCTGTGGCTTCCCTCTGCAGCACAGAGAGTGTTGACAGCTGGCCTTTGTAGCACAGCATGGCCCTCAGGTCCTCTCTTTAGTTTAACATGTGCCACACCTTCCTTCTGGGGAGTGCTATGGCATCTGGCTTTTGATTGGCATTTCCAACCAAAGCACATTTGTGAGTGCGTGTTACAACCAGCTTTCTGAGTCCATGCTGCGTTCAGCAGTGATCACTCCATTAGAAGTAGAGGAGGCACCAGGTACCAGTTCTTACCCACAATGCTAGCTATTCAGGAAGCTCAGTTCTGAGAGTCACAATTCAAAATCAGCCTTGGGAGAAAAATCCCTGAGAGAGACTCTTATCTCTAATTAAACAGAAAAAAATTGCCGGATGCAGGTGGCTCATGCCTGTAATCCTACCTACTCAGGAGGCTGAGATCTGAGGGTTATGGTTCAAAGCCACACTGGGCAGGAAAGTCCATGAGACTCTTATCTCCAATAAACCACCAGAAAACTGGAAGTGACGCTGTGACTCAAGTGGTAGAGCACTCGCCTTGAGCTGAAGAGCTGAGGGACAGCGCCCAGGATCAGAGTTCAGGCCCCACAACCAACAAAAATAAAAGAAAAAAGAAAAAAAAACCTCTTCTTTCCATTTCCTGGAATTAATTTAAATAAATATTATTTTGTATGATCAGAGGCACATAGGCATTGTGCCTTTGTATTCCCCTCTTAAGAGTTTCTCCTTTGATCTCACTGTGTATGAATGCCTAGAGACCTATATAATTTATCATGTCCCAGTGTATGTTAGATCTAGCTTCCATGAAAACACATGGTGTTTGTCTCTCTGAGCTTAGCTCCCCTTACTTAATAAGATTTATTGTAGGTCCATCCATTTTCCTGCAAATGATATAATATTCTTTCTAAAGCTGTATAAAATTCCATTTTGTACAGGCACCACATTTCTTTGGATCCACCCATCTATTGTAGGGTGTCTGGGCTGTTTTCACAACTTGGCTATTGTGAATAGCGCATGTTCACAGTAGTGCATGTGAAAAACAAATAGTGGATGTTCAAGTGTTTTTTTTATCATATTCTGGCCTGTGATGTTCTGAGTGGATGCCCAGAAATGGTGTGGCTGAGTTGTAGGGAAAATGTATGTTTAGCTTTTTGAGGAACCTTCAGACTGCTATCTAGCATGGTTGTACTAGTTGACATTCCCATCAACAGTGCAATAGGGTTCCTTTTTCCCCAGATCCCTGCCAACATCTGTTGTTGTTCAAATTCACAATGTTGCCAATCTAACACGAGTGAGATGGAGCCTCAGAGTTGTTTTGATTTGCAATTCCTTCATGACCAGGGATGATGAGCATTTCCTAAAAAGAAGTCTCTCCTTAACTCCCTTGCCCATTTAGTGATTGGTTTCTTAGCTTCAGGAAGGGTTAGTTTCTTGAGCTCCTTGTATATTTTGGATATTAGGCCTTTGTATGGTATATTACTGGTAAAGATCTTCTCCTCGTCTGTTGGCTGCCTTTCTAGTTTAGTAACTATGTCCTTTGCTGTGAAAAAATTTTTATTTTGTTGTAATCCCATTTGTCAAGTCTCTCTCCTATCTGTTGTGCCCTTGGGACTCTTTTCAAAAAAGTGTCTACCTATACCTTTGAATTCTAATGTTTCTCCTATTCTAGAGGCACACTTTTAAAACTGTTATTTTATTTAGAAGAATCATTCAGTCAAGAATAGCCTTTTGGTTAGATTTCAAGACAATCATGTTGGTCATGCAGGTTTCAGTCCAGTAACTACCAGTATATTCTGGCATTTCGTTTTGCCATTGAGGAGATCAACATGAACTCCAACCTTCTGCCCAACACATCCCTGGGATTTGACCTCTATAAAATCTTCTATCATGAGCACCTGGTGTTGAAGAATTCTGTCACTTGGCTGTCTGGTTTGAATGAGAACACCCCTAATTATAACTGTAGGAAAGAACACAAGTCCGTAGCAGTACTTACAGGATCATTTCGGGCAGCATCTTTCCAATTTGGCACACTGCTGGACCTCTACAAATTCCCTCAGGTGAGAGTCAGGGTGAGGGGCTCATGGGAAACCAGATCTCCAAGGCTGACAACCTGAGATGTGTAAACAAATTGAAAGGAGGACAGTGGGGTTCAACAAGTGTCAAACTATGTTGTCCTTAATTCTAAGAATGGGCAAAGTGGCAGAGAAGCCATACGTCCTTAGGGAGGCGGAAGAGGTAGAATCCCAGAAGGAGCTTTTCTACAATTCTGAGTCTCATTAGTTATTTCATAGAATGCTCATGATGTGCTTCCTTGTATTCTTTGCCTTTAGCTGACCTTTGGGCCTTTTGATCCAGTTCTGAGTGACAAGAGGCAGTTTTCTTCTCTCTACCAGATGGCTTCCAAGGACTCACCCCTGGCCCTCGCCATGGTCTCCTTGATGGTTCATTTCAGCTGGAACTGGGTGGGGTTGCTCATCTCCGATGATGAGAAAGGTTTTCAGTTTCTCTCTGAGTTGAGGGCAGAAATGAAAAGAAACAAAATCTGTATAGAATTTGTGAATCTGATTGCAGGACCAGGCCTTTCAAGTTTCAAAGAAGTTGAAATGTTTCAAAGCAATTTCATAGCTTCCTCAGCAAAACTTGTTATCATTTATGCTGACATCGACTCTTCCTTTAACCTGATCTTCAATAGATGGCGGCATTTATTCACACAGAAAATCTGGCTCACCACTTCACGGTTAGATACTAGCACCACCAAGAAACATTTCCTCTTTGACTCATTCCATGGAACTCTCGTTTTCTCCCACCATCATGGTGAGATTTCTGAGTTCAAAACCTTTGCCCAGACAGTAAACCCTTCTAAATATCCAGATGATATCTATCTTTCTTGGTTGTGGTGGATGTTTTATAATTGTCCAGTCTCAGAGTCTGACTGCAAAATTTTGAAGAACTGTTCATCTCAAGGCTCCTTGGAATTGTTACCATGGTATCATTTTGACGTGGCCATGAGTGAAGAGAGTCACAATATCTACAACGCTGTGTATGCTGTGGCCCATGCCCTGCATGAGATGCTTGTTCAACAAGTAGAAACACAGCCACTGAAAAATGGGAGCACAGGCTTTCCCCCCTGGCAGGTACTGTTTCTTCCATTTAATACTGAGTAGTCTTGTCAAGATGGGGTTCCAAGACAGTTAACAGCTGAAAAGATCAAGTAGGGTAAGATTCTTTCTCCCAAACACTATTTCTCAACTACCCTTCCTACTTAGGAAGTATATGTATCTGAGTGAAGTAAGATGTCCATTCATGGAAAACAGATTTTTGAGTCATCATCAGTACAAGTTATGGAGGACATCAGCTTCCTGACTACATGAAGTTTTCCTTAGGAAAACACCAGCCTTTCCCCCTGATGTTCTTGATTCACACTGAAAAATTTAACTGTTTTTTAATATGTTTTATTATTGATATTGTTGTTGTTCTTATTATACAGGTGATATACAGGGAGGATTAAAATTTCATAAATCAAGTAATGAGCGTATTTCTTTTTGGACGTCACCTCATTCCCTCACTCTCTCCCCGTTTTCCTCTCCCATCCCCACCCACAATTTGTATAGTTCATTTTTGACATAGCATCTATGCACTGCAGAATTTGTTCACCCTTGAAACTAACCCTTTATGCATGCCTACAGTGTGTGAGCACATTCACTACTGGTTCTCACAGTGATCTTGCCTAGTCCTGCAAGAAAAACTCATTTTACTGATGGGCTCTTGTAGAAAAGGAAAATTAGAAATGGTGTGGAATTGGACTACAATAGCCACTGATCATTTAAGTGTGTTTGTTTGGGGAATCTTTTCTCCTAAGATGAAATGTATAAGTTATCTTCATTGTCCATCTGCTCTTCCTTGCTTAGTTCCATCTGTGTCTGTAATCAAGTTTCATTGAGAAGAAAAGAGTTAAGACAGGGCAGGCATCTCCTGCTAATGCTGCTCAGACTTAATACTGGGTGAACTTTCATCCTATAACAGTGGTCTTTTTTAGCTGCACCCCATCTTGAAGAACGTCAAATTTCGCAATTCTGCTGGCCATGAAGTTGATATGACTCAGAAAGAAAAAGTCAGCTCTGAGGTTGACATTCTCAATTTCTGGAATTTCCCAGAAGGTCTTCATCTTAAGGTGAAAGTAGGAAATTTTTCCCCACACTTTCCACCTGAATACCAGTTATCTCTATCTGAGAACATGATAGATTGGGCCACAGGATTCTCCCAGGTGAGTTGGAAGAAATTGTGATGCTTTTCTCTGAAAAGCTCTCTCCAAATGGTTGAGGGCCTCTGCACAACTCAGAAATGGGCCACACATGAACTATAGTGACTCACTTCTGTCTTCTAAGATTTTCTTCCTTACTCACTGATGGTTGGGAAAGGAGCACATGTTTGTTTGGGGGTTTTTGGTCAGTTGTGGGGCTTGCACTCAGGGCCTGAGCACTGTCCCTGAAGTTTATCGCTCAAGCCTGGCACTCGGCATTTTAAGCACAGAGCCACTTCCAGTTTTCTGTGGGTTAATTGGAGATAAGAGTCTCATGGACTTTCCTGCCTGGGCTGGCCACAAAAGGAACACATTTATTCACCCATATGATAAGAAGAGTTCATAGGTCACATTGCATGGCCTACCTGGTATCCGCTCCATTATTTGAATAAAACACATATCAACCATTTCTTAGTGTTCTAATGCTCTGAGGTTCGGTAGTTTCTGGAGGGTTATACAAAACTACCGTCTGCTACTACCAACACATGTTGCTTGTCCTCAGACCCCTCACTGTGTGTGCAGCGCAAGTTGCAGCCCTGGATTCAGGAAATCCCCCCAGGAAGGAAAGGCTGCCTGCTGTTTCGATTGCACCCTGTGTCCCGAGAATGAGATTTCCAATGGGACAGGTGGGTGCGTGCCAACTCTCCACTCCTCATTATTTCTCTCATCCATGAAAGGATCCTTGAAAACGTGCATGAGAACTGTGGATTCATGTATTCCTTTCCTCATTTAACCACATCATTGTTATAATAAATAATAGCCCTTCCTAGAATTAACACGCATCTATGCCTTAAAATGCATACTTTGACTTATAGTTTTTGTGGTATTCTTGTTGGTCTATGGTAGTTATTGTTTGGTTTTTCCCTTTTTTGTTGTTTTGACCACTTTCTTCGAGAGTACTTCCTTTATTCTGTGCCCCCTTGTCATTGTTCTAGAATTTTCTTTACCTTTGTATTCTTTCTATTCTTTCCCACTGTGCATCTTCTCTCTCTCCCATCATCAACAATCCCAATAACATTTTGACAGAAATAGTAAACACAACCCAAACATTCATATAATGCTTATGTAAGTGTAATCCCTCTATACAGCACTGGGCACCAGTGGCTCACACCTATAATCCTAGCTGCTCCAGAGGCTGAGATCTGAGGATCTTGGTTCAAAGTCAGCCCTGGCAGAAAAGTCCCTGTGAGACTCTTATCTCTAAACACTCAAAAACTGGAAGTAAGCCAGGCTGAAATCTGAGGATCATGGTTCAAAGCCAGACCAGGCCGAAAAGTCCCCATGAGACTCTTATTTCCAATAAACTACTCAAAAAAGCCGGAAGTGGCACTGTGGCTCAAGTGGTACAGTGCTAGTCTTACACAAAAGAGCTGAGGGTCAGTGCCCAGGCCCTGAGTTCAAGCCCTACAACACAATGGCTGGAACCATCTGATTCTTTATAAAGCTGACCAATTCACCCCCTGGGGTTGCCTTTTAGTACCTCATTTTCACCTTCCCATATATTCTATTGTCCTATCATTCTGCCTACTCTTTACTGAAGCTTCTGTACTTTCCCCTCATTGCTCACAGTAGACTGTAGCTGATCTCCAGCCGTTCCTGGTTTATTCATTCTAGCAAATGCTGGTGGCTCTGGTTCAGGAACTTCAACCTCCTTCCAGATATGTTGCTAAGGCAGGTGCTGGTGGCTCACACCTGTAATCCTAGCTACTCAGGAAGCTGAGATCTGAGAATCACAGTTTGAAGCCAGCCTGGACAGGAAAGTCTGTGAGACTATTTTCTTTAATTAACTGCTAAAGAAGCTCAGGGACGGCATCCAGCCTCTGAGTTCAGGACCAACACACACACACACACACACACACACACACACACACTAACAAGAAACATGTGCTTTGCCAACTACTCTGTCTATGGTATTTTCCTATAGCCTCTGGAATGTTTTTAGAAGAATGTTTTCTTTTAGTAAGGTAGTAAAAATGATGAGCTGGGATGTAGACTACCAAGTACAATGTCCTGGGTTCAATCCCCAGTACCAAAAAATAAAAGACAATAAACACAGTTTTTTTTTAAAAAAAAAAAAGAAAGAAAAATGACATTACATAAATACAAGACATTAAAAACACACCTGTAGCCAAAACCATAAATAATAGAGACAGTGTGAATTAGCAACTCTTCCATGCACATTATTCTTTCATTCACTTTCTACTGAACAATGAGGGAGGCGCAGCAGAGCTTCTCTGACACACTGATTTTAGGGCCCTGGGAATTAAGGAGGATTCCTGAACCAGGAAGAATGACATTCCACTTCTCTCTGCAGACATGGACCAGTGTATGAAGTGTCCAGATCACCAGTATGCCAACATAGAGCGAATACACTGCATTGAAAAAGTCGTAACATTTCTGGCTCATGAAGACAACTTGGGGAAGACTCTGGTCTGCACAGCCCTGGGCTTCTCTGTCCTCACAGTTGTTGTTCTTGGGATCTTCATAAAGCACCGAGACACCCCCATTGTCAAGGCCAATAACCGGGATCTCAGCTACATCTTGCTCATCTCCCTCATCTTCTGTTTCCTCTGTTCCTTACCCTACATTGGCCAACCCAGCACAGCCACCTGTATCCTGCAGCAGACAGCATTTGGGGTTGTGTTCACTGTGGCTGTTTCTACTGTCTTGGCCAAAACAGTGACTGTGGTTCTGGCCTTCAAGGCCACTTCTCCAGGGAGAAGGATGAGGTGGCTGCTGGTATCAGGGGCTCCCAACTTCATCATCCCCATCTGTACCTTGATCCAAGTGACTTTTTGTGGAGTCTGGCTGGGAACCTCTCCTCCCTTTGTGGACACAGATGCACACTCTGAACATGGTCACATCATCATCCTGTGCAACAAGGGCTCCCTCACTGCCTTCTATTGTGTTCTGGGATACCTGGGTGCCCTGGCCCTGGCCAGCTTCACTGTGGCTTTTCTGGCCAGAAACCTGCCTGACACCTTCAATGAAGCCAAGTTCCTGACCTTCAGCATGCTGGTGTTCTGCAGTGTGTGGCTCACCTTCCTGCCTGTCTACCACAGTGCCAAGGGGAAGGTCATGGTGGCTGTGGAGATCTTCTCCATCTTGGCCTCCAGTGCAGGGCTCCTAGGCTGCATTTTTGCCCCCAAGTGCTACATTATTCTTGTGAGATCTGAAAAGAACTGTGTGAAAGGTTTAAGAGATAGAGTTGACTCAAGGGGAAAACAGGCAAAATTTGAAGATTTGAAGGCTCTATGAGAACTTGAGAGTTTCAACAACCACTGCCAACCCCATCCTAACTTTGCATTCTGATCCTACAAAATGACTCAGAACACCTCACACTTCTTCAGAAAGAGCATGCAAGATCTTTCATTGTTATTCCTTAATAGTTTATATGAATTAAGAAATTTTTTTGGTGCCTGGGACTTGAACTCAGAGCCTGGGTACTGTCCCTGAGCTTCTTTTGCTCACAACTAGTGCTCTGCCACTTGAGCCACAGCTCTACTTCCAGCCTTTTTTTGGTAGTTTAGTGGAGATAATCTCACAGACTTTCCTGCCCAGGCTGGTTTCAAACCATGGTCCTCAGATATCAGCCTCCTGAATAGCTAGGATTCCAGGCATGAGGCACCAGTGCCTGGCTAGAAATTCTTTAATATACTTTAGGATTCTTCTGAAAAACTAATTCATTACTCACAGTAAATAACTTTGCTTAAGAATAAAAGATTTCCACTGGGATGGCATGAAACTACAGAGCATCTGCATGGCAAAGGACATAGCTAGCAAGATCAATAGAAGCCCAGGGATTGGGAGAAGATTTTCACTAGCCATACAACAGACAAGCACCTCATATCTAAAATATACTTAGAACTCAAAAAATTAAATCTCCCCAAATCAAATCCTCAAAGAAACAACCACCCGATTAATATGTCTTTAAAAACTTAAAAGACAGACTTCTCTGAAGAGGAAATAAGAATGGCCAATAGACACATGAAGAAATGCTCAACCTCTCTAGCCATAAAAGAAATGCAAATCAAAACAACATTGAGATACCACCTCACCCCAGTTAGAATGGCTATAATCAAGATCTCTAATAACAACAGATGCTGGAGGGGATTGGACAGAAGGGAACCCTATTGTATTGTTGGTGGGAGTGTAAACTTGTTCAACCACTTTGGAAAGTAGTATGGAGGTTCCTCAAAAGACTCCACATAGAGTTCCCCTATAACCCAGGAATCCCACTGTTGGACATTTACCCAAATGAACACAAACACGACCATACTAAAGCTACTAGCACAATTATGTTTATCGCAGCATTATTTAACATAGCTAAGATATGGAACCAACCCAGATGCCCCTCGGTAGATGAATGGATCAAGAAAATGTGGTAGGGCTGGGAAGGTGGCTCAGTGGTAGAGCGCTTGCCTTGCATGCCTGAGGCCCTGAGTTTGATTCCTCAGCGCCACATAAGCAAAAAGAAAAAAAGCCGGAAGTGGCGCTGTGGCTCAAGTGGTAGAGCGCTAGCCTTGAGCTGAAGAGCTGAGGGACAGTGCCCAAGCCCAGAGTTCAGGCCCCATGACCGGACCCAAAAAAAAAAAAAAGAAAAGAAAATGTGGTATATATACACAATGGTATTCTATGCCTCCATCAGAAAGAATGACATTGCCCCATTTGTTAGGAAATGGAAAGACTTAGAAAAAATTATATTAAGTGAAGTAAGCCAGACCCAAAGAAACAGGTCCCATGGTTTTCCTTATTTGCAATAACTAGTATATGTCTACGACAAGTAGAAAAGGTCAAAAGCTATGTACATATGACCATATAATGATGGTCAGATGATGCTAAGCAAAAGGAATCCCAAGTAGGGGCACAAGAGGTTTTATCTTTGTCGCTATTGTTTTTAATGTACTTATAATGTCCTATATGATTTTTTTGTTTCTCTTGTATGTTCTTCCCCCATGGTATAACCCCTGTTTTCACTGTATTTGATGTCAGTGCCCTGCATCTTGTATATACATTTTTCTAGTTTGGGGAGGGGAAGAGAAATAACAAAAAGCTGAAATAAGGATACAGGATGACCCATTGTAACAATGAGATGTGCAAGACACTATGTTAAAAATGAACTTTACAACTTTGTGGGGGAGGAAACAGTTAGGGGGGTGGAGAGGGAAGGGATAATAGGGGAAAACAAAGGAGGGGGTAACAATGCTCGATAGAAAATGTACTCATTACCCTATTCATGTAACTGTTACCCCTCTGCACAGTATCTTTACAATAAAATATATATATATAATAAAAAGATGTCCAAAACCTTTAGCATTGTTTTACAAAATAAAAGGTTTTGTTTTAATTTTATGCATGCATTTAAGTATTAAAATGAAAGGTTAAAACCAGGTACCTGGGAGAAAGCGAGGGAAGGGATAACATTATCCAAAAAGAAATGTACTCTTTACCTGACGTATGTAACTTTCACCCCTCGGTATATCACCTTTATAATAACAATCTTAAAAAAAGAAAAACAGGTACCCATGGCTCATACCTATAGTCCTAGCTACTCAGGAGGCTGAGAGCTGAAGATTGCAGTTCAAAGCTAGCCTGGACAAGTAAGGCCATGAGACTCTTATCTCCAATTAACTACCAAAAAGTCAAAAGTAGCACTAGCCTTAAGCAGATAAAATTCAGGTGCAATGCACAGGCCTGGAGTTCAACTTCCAGGACACACACACACACACACACACACACACACACACACACATAGTCAGAAGTTAAGCACTGGTGGCTCATGCTAGGCTCTAGATATTCAGGAGGCTGAGATCTGAGAATCTCAATTCAAAACCAGCCCAAGATGACAAATCAGAAAGACTCTTATCTCCAGTTAACCAGCAAAAAGATGGAAGTAGAGTCATGGTTCAAGTGGTAGAGAACCAGCCTAGAGCCAGGAAAAGCCAAATGAGGCCCTGAGTTCAATCACACACACACACACACACACACACACACACACACACACACACACACACACACACACATACTGAGAATGTGACTTAGTGGTAGAGGGCTTGCCTAGCATGCATGAAGCCCTGGATTCGATTCCTCAGCAACACATAAATAGAAAAGGCCAGAAGTGGCACTGTGGCTCAATTGGTAGAGCACTAGCCTTGAGCACAGAGAGGCTCAGGAACAGAGCCCAGGCTCTTGAGTTCAAGCTCCATGACAAAAAAGAAAGAAAGAAAAAGAGAAAAAAAACTGGTCAGGATATTGTCAAGATTAAGTCAATGTGATTTCTTGTTCTACTCGAGCTTTATCTATAGTGCTCTCTGTCTCTCTCTCTCTGTCTCTCTGTGTCTCTGTCTCTGTCTCTCTCTGTGTCTCTGTCTCTGTCTCTCTCTGTGTCTCTGTCTCTGTCTCTATCTCTCTCTCCTTCTTCTTCTTCTTCTTCTTCTTCTTCTTCTTCTTCTTCTTCTTCTTCTTCTTCTTCTTCTTCTTCTTCTTCTTCTTTCTTTCTTTCTTTCTTTCTTCCTTTCTTTCTTTCTTTCTCTCAGAATCCATTAAACTGGAATTTTCCTAAAGTAGAAACTTATTTGTAAAACATCAGCCCATCTCACTTGTTCCTTAAGTGTCCCATCATGTCAGGATTGACCCAGGGTCTTAGCTTCCCTAGCTTCCCCACCCACCCTCTCCCACTCTCCCCTGTAGACTGGTTGTTTTCTTTTCTTTTCTTTTCTTTTTTTTTTTTTTTTTTTTTTTTTTGTCTGTTGTAGGGCCTGAACTCTGGTCCTAGGCGCTGTCCCTCAGCTCTTCAGCTCAAGGTTAGCACTCTACCACTGGAGCCACAGCACCACTTCTGGCTTTTTCTGCTTATGTGGTGCTGAGGAATCAAACCCAGGGCCTCATGCATGCAAGGCAAGCACTCTACTACTGAGGCATCTTTCCAGCCCGGAACTGGGTTCTTTTGAGTCCTCAACTTGGAAATAAAGCAGACAAGCCAAGATCCTCAGATCTCAATCAGGCTGAGTTAGACCCACAACTCTAGCTGCCAGGTCCCCCTTCCAAACCGCAGCAACCTATGGAATGAAAACTAATCCTCGCTGGCCATTCTTGCACCTAGAAAGTGAATGGACAGCTATTTTTCTGGCCACTAGGGGGCAGCATGTCCAAGGACTACCAGTAGGTCTGAAGCAAACTGGGTAACCAGACTTGAAATACAACTCACCCCAAATGACAGGGAAGAATTAAGAGGGTGTGGGGAGGAGGAAAGGAATGGAAGGAATAAGAAGAGGGAGGCAGAAGGACAGGGAGAAGTGGAAGAGGAAAATGGAGTCAAAGAAGGTTAGGAAAAGAGAGGGAGGAGAAAGGGAGGAGGGGGAGAGAGAGAGAGAGAAAAAAAGAGAGAGAGAGAGGGGCACCTAGGAAACACACAGAGCCCTCACTCGAACCAAGCTGTGTTCCCCCACCAGCAGCCTCAATCCTTCCCTAGGCCAGAAAGTTTCTCTCCAATCCTTGGGACACAAGCCCCTCACATTTGTGCACTTCTGGTGAGAAAGAGCTCTTTACCTCATAGCTACCTAGGAATCATGGGTAAGACTATTGTCTCAAACCCACCCTGCCTGGCTTTTGCAAATCCCCAAGATTCTTTTTTTTTTTTGAGGGGGGGAATTGTCATGGGGCTTGAACTCTGGGCCTGGGCACTGTTCCTGTGCTCTTCAGCTCAAGGCAAGCACTCTACCACTTGAGCCACAGCGCCACTTCCGGTTTTCTAGTGGTTTATTGGAGATAAGAGTCTCACGGACTTTCCTGCCCGGCTGGCTTGAACCGAGATCCTCAGATCTCAGCCTCCTGAGTAGCTAGGATGACAGACGTGAGCCACCGGCGCGAGCCACGGGCGCCCGGCTTAAATCCCCAAGATTCTGACACACACCTGCACCTCTCCCATGCTCCTGAATGCCTAGGGTCTGGACTCTCCCAAGGCCAGCATCCCAAATTGTCCCCACACACACACATACCCCTGTTTCTGTTTTTGAGGCCTTCATAACATAGACATTCATCAATCAACTACTGTACTAAAATTCAAAGCAAACATTGCCAAACAGAAACCTGAAGTTTCAAGCTACCAGACCCTCCTGGAAGGGGCTAACCACACAAAGAAGCCCATCACATCTCTGTGTTATATACATTTCCTCCAGCTTCCAAAAAAATATAGAATCTGCCAGGCACTGCTGGCTCATGCCTGTAATCCTAGCTACTCAGGAGGCTGAGATCTGAGG